CTTCCAGCGCTAATCGGATTATCACGGGCGCGAGACATGATATTAACAGGTCGGAGAGTTGGTGCGCCAGAAGCATATTTCTTGGGGCTTTGCGATAGACTTGTTGAAGTCACGGCGGAAGATGCGCAGCAACCCGGCGTAGCACGGGCAAAAGTGTTAGATGAGGCTGTTAGGTTGGCGAGGGAGATTTGTGAGGGTGGCCCCATTGCTATAAAAGCGGCCCTGGCAGCTGTAGAAGGCTGCGCTTTGGGTGAAAAGGCAGAGAATGCTGCGTACGATATTGTTGTCAAGACAAAGGACAGGGATGAGGCGCTATCTGCATTTAGAGAGAAGAGAAAACCGGTCTTCAAGGGAGAATAAATAAACGATCCAAATCAATAGCACATTAAAAACATCGAATTCATATTTGCAATTCGATCGGGTACCAGCATCCTCATAGTATCTGCTCTTCGAAACACGCCTGCCGTCCAATTCCTTAATGCTACATATGACACATGTTAGATATCTCCTACATTCGTGCCTTAATTTCCTCCAACAATTTCTGCAACTCGCCCTTATCCGCTTGTTTGGTGGGCCAGCCAATCCCTAATCCCTCGCTCTCATTCGGCTTGGGGATCACATGGAAATGCACATGATCAACAACTTGATGCGCAATCCGTCCATTATTCTGCAAGATGTTATAATCCTCTAGCCCTTGTGCAATCGCAATCTTCCTAGCTACCGAGAGCACTTCGCTGAGCTGGTCATCGGGCACGTCGTGCAGTTTTGCGCCGTGGTACTTAGGGATAACGAGCTGTTATATTCAACCACAATTAGTCCAATTCTAGGAACAGATTGAAAGATTTAAAGGAAGACATGTACGAACAGAATGTCCGCGGCTCAAAGGTCCAATGTCAAGGAAGGCAAGTGTCTTCTCGCTTTCAAAGATCTTCATTGAGGGGATTTCACCTATGAAATGCCATTAGGAGTAATCGCAAGACGCATTGGGCTAGACTAACCCCGAATAATCTTGCAAAAGATACAGGCGGCCATTGTGGTACTCAGAGTTGTATGGGTGACGTGATGTTGTAGAAGCTTAGGGTCCGGACCGAGGGCGAGGTGGGGTGGGGGGAATTGTGGCGCGAGGAGTGCACGGCCACAGGAGGGCCGATTTGAAATCAATTGGAGAAAAATTTAAATATGTTGACTCGAGACTTGTGTATTTATTATTTGTGCTTGCTGGTCCTCTTTTTGAGTATCAACATGTTGGTGGTACTACATATTAGCATCTCCAGAGAAATATTGACATGAGTCATTGATGGGCATGGAAAAACATCATCTGCTTAAATATGTGACCTTCTAAAGCAATAATGGCGAGTAGATTTCTGAGTGTGACAGGTAAAGGTAACAAATAAGCCCAATAGACTCCCTGTTAGCCTAACCAAAGGAGCTATCTACAGATACCGACGCTAGCTTAAACACCACGTTCATTTTGTCTATCTCAACCTTCTTAATAAAAAGATCACTTGATTATACCCTTTTAGTTCCTTGTTTGCACACCTTGTCCTATCATGAAACCTCCAATCATAGCCGTAGTCGGTGGCTTGAACATGGACCTAATCTTCGAAGCAAAACGCGCCCCGGAAGCAGGAGAATCCCTAGATGCAACGTCTCTTTTCACATTACCAGGCGGCAAAGGGTGCAATACAGCAATAGCAACATATCGAGCCAGTCACTCCAAACCTAGATCTAGACAAGACTCAAATCCCGCCCTCGATATAGCTTCAGAAGAGAACATCCAAATATTCATGAACGGCGCGGTTGGCAACGATGCCTTTGGCGAAGAATTAAAAGAAAGACTGAACTCGCATAACATCAACACAGACGGCGTCCTCACCATCCCAGACGAACGGAGCGGGACATGTCTCGTCATCGTCGATTCCGCAACAAACGACAGCCGAAACCTGGGCTATCAGGGCGCGAACCTAAAATGGCGACCTATTGATTCCAACTCTATCACATGTCTAGCAGCAGGCCACATCCCGGATCTCGTGATAGCACATTTAGGTATTCCCCGGAAAACGATAGAGTCTGTGCTGCAGATAGCAAGGGAAAAAGGTGTCGATACATTACTTAATCCGGCACCGGCGTATCATTTGGGAAAGGACACTTATAAGTGTATTACGCACTTAGTATTGAATCATGCCGAGGCTTCAACTTTGTCGGGATGCACGGTGGAAAATTGGAGAGATGCAGCAGCGTGGTTTATACGACTAGGAGTAAAAAATGTGGTTATTACGTTGGGTTCAAAGGGTGCTTATTTTGCGATGAGTGGTGGGGTGGAGGGAGTCGTGGATGCTGTGAAGGATGTGAAAATTGTGGATACGACAGGTGCTGGGTGAGTTGGCTTTTCCTTTTGGCGTTGAGAGGAAAAGCTAACAAGAAATTCTAAGGGATACATTTGTGGGCACATATGGCGCTGATTACGTTAAGCAGAAACGGAAAGGTGTATGGGATATTCGCAAAGCAGTCTGGCGGGCATGTATGGCCGCTGCTCGAACTATTGAACGGCTCGGAGCTCAAGAGGCTATGCCTTGGTTGGATGAAATTGAATAACCATTCGCCACTAGTATCTCCTCCAAACATCCGATGGCCTGCCTGGTACATATTCCCAAAGGCGAATGATTCTATCTTACGGGTATCTGAATTAGTAACATGTCGTGTCCATCTACATTTCTCCTGGTTGGAACTTCCTCATGACTGGGACACCCAATTCCAAGCTCTACATTCAAAATTGGCATAGCATCTAAACTCATTACTCAGACCTTTTGCATGCTTAATCTCGTAATTAGTCGTGCGGACTCCAGCCTTGGAGTATAGCTTCGTGATCAAAGACTCCATTCGTTCGCCTGTGCAAACAATCAACCGGAACGACTCATCTATCCAGGGCTTTGAGAGCCACCGTACAGTAAGCGCAGCTAATCTTGATTTAGAGTATATTCGTTAAGAGAGCGATATAAAAAAATACCTTTGGTCTGACAATCCTGACTAAGGAAAGGTGGGTCACAAATTATACGGTCGAAGGAACCCTTTAGCTCGACTGGTAGTTTGATAGCTTGCTCGAAGTCATATTTAACGAATTCTTTAAAGACGCCAAAACGGTCGTCATATTCAAGGAGCTTCACTTCGGGCCGTATGTGGTACTCCCCCGATGCCTATTGATGGTTAAGGACTGTCAGATCCCCCTTAACCCACTAAATCCACTCACCAACAGATTCTTCAACTGAATAAAAACACTCGGCGCTGACACAACTGCAATCCTACTCCCATCCGTCGCCCCATCTAGAAGCTGTCTTGCCAACACCGTCGCCGTCTCATCATCATACTACACAATAATTAGTCCCCTCCTCGCCCCATCTTTTTCTCAATATCATACCCAGAACTGACTAGCATTCCAATCCTCTGTGAAAGCCTCCATACTCAGCTTCTCCTTGCTGTCAAACTCATTCTCAGCCTTAGCCTTCAAATCCTCGAATTGCTTCTGCTTCGTATCACGCTCCCCGTAAAATTCCTTTAACGCGGCCAACGTGCCTGCTGATAGCTGTCTTGTTCGTTATTTTAGACATGCTCTCGCGCACATCACTGCACTTACGGTATATCATCATTGTCAGCGTCACCCAGCAAGGCCATATTATTATTACCTAGATCAGATCCGGAAATAGTAAGTGGGTGGGGGATTGTATGAGTGTCTGAACGTGGGATGGAGATGTCGAGTCGGGCTTATCGATAAGCGAGGTCTGTAAATTCCGTACCGAGGAACAATCGTAGAGCTGGTGAGAATGCACCGGTGATGGCGATTGCGTGCTTACACTACGCATCACCAACAATACTCTACGATGGCGGAGCCGTTGGTACCGTTGCCGGTGATTGAAAAGTTGAGTAGCCGTGTGATTAGAGTTTTAGGAGGGAATCCGAGCAAAGTGAGTTTGGAGCGATCATTGTTCGTCTTGCAGGCTGACCGGCTTGCTAGTTTACGCTACAAGGTTCGTGATGTAGGTCTCAGATATTGGGAAATGCTGACTTGTACAGGCACAAATACATATGTCATTGGTACGGGCCCGAAGCGGCTGTTAATTGATACTGGCGAAGGCAAACCGGAATGGATCAAGTCGCTAAGGTCGGTGCTGGATGACGAAAAGATCAAAATCGACAAGGCGTTATTAACGCACTGGCACCCTGATCACATCCAAGGAGTTCCTGATCTTCTGCAAGTCTCCTCCGGCACGAAAGTCTACAAGAATAAACCAAATGAAGGATGGCTGGATATTAGCAACGACCAGAGGTTTGAAACCGAGGGCGCCACTTTGAAAGCGTTCCATTGTCCCGGTCATGCTACCGACCACATGGCATTTGTTCTGGAGGAGGAAGATGCCATGTTCACAGGCGACAACGTTCTTGGTCAGGGAACCGCCGTGTTTGAGGATTACGGCACTTATATGAAGAGTCTTGACGCTATGTCTAAGCAGTTTAAGGGCCGCGCATATCCCGGCCACGGACCTATCATCGAAGACGGGCCCGCAAAAGTGCTAGAATACATCAAGCATCGAAAGCAGCGGGAGAAGCAGGTTTTGGATGTGCTCAGTCAGGAGAAAGACGGGGGTTGGACAGCAATGGACATCGTAAAGGTCATCTACAGGGACTATCCAGAAAATCTATGGGCGCCAGCTGAGAAGGGGATATTGCAGATTCTTGAGAAATTGGAGAAAGAAGGGAAGGTTGTGAAGGATGAGGCAAAGGGGACTTGGTCGTTGGGCGGAAAGCCATTGCTTTAATAGCCAATAGAATTTTGTGTCTATGCATGATCCTTCGATTAGTTCTCGACTTGGCTGGTTCAGCCCCGCTCTTTTTCTGATAGATCCACATCTCCAAGCGAGTCATCCTGCGCTTTGAATTATCAGGGCTCCTCAGTATTTGTGGATACAATATTTTAAAATGCGAAAAGTATCTTAAAATATGCCTTGGACGCAGTGCCAGAGTGGTTAATGGGTTAGACTTGAATTTCCCAAATTCATGTCATCTAATGGCTTCGGCCTCGCAAGTTCGAATCTTGTCTGCGTCGGATGTCTTTGGCGTCTGCGTTGTAATCGCTCAAAGCTTTTTTTTAAAATCTTTTTTTCTTTTTATCTAAAATATACCTTTGCATCTCCATTTTTCTCGCTGCCACGTTCGCGCACTAGAAACTCACTATGCTTCCCTCACCCGGTTCGGCCATTATCAAGCCGAGTCGTCGGAGGCAGCCCATTATTCCTCCTTCGATGGAAGTGCCATGCCGACGTAAATTCCCGGTTGATTTACATCATGGTTCTTATAGCTTGAAAGGAACGTCAGCGCGACAAAGTATCTCATTCCTGCGTCGAGTCTCACCAGAACGTACCTGAGAATTGCGATTGCGCCTGGCGACATGATCATCGGCAAGTCTATATCCAGCGGATATCTCAACCATCGTTTCACAAAGCATCGCAATATAAGGCCATGCGCGACCAGCACTACATCAGCAGGCTCTTTCCCATCCATATGCGGCCCTTGTACCTTGAGGATCTCCTCGATCAGTCTGTCTAATCTCTCGGAAACTTGGTCCGCAGACTCCCCGCCCTGGCATCCGTCCCGCCAGATATTCCACGCTTTCTCCTGGTCCAGTCCCCGCTCCTTCCTGAGCATTCTGATATCTCCAATTACCATCCCTTCGTAGTCTCCATAGTCCCACTCTGTGATATCTTCTGTGAGAATGACTCGCTCAGGGCTGATGCTATCACCGAACAGGTGCTGGAACGTCTGGTGGGCCCTCCTGCGGGGACTAACCCACACGCGGGCGATTCGGGCCGGATCGACTAACTTTCTAGGCCCAACAAGCAGACGTCCCGTATCCGTGACCTGTTTAACGCCCTCGCTCGTTAGCGGGATGTCGGAGATTCCGGTATATTGGCCGCTCTTGGTCCATTCCGTTTCTCCTGAAGGACTACGTCAGTCCAGCTTCAAAAGCAGGCACACTAGGTATGTCAATGCATCACTCTAGCATTCATTGGATGTAACTCAATGCAATAGATAGAGAAGATTTGTATATTAGGTTCAAGCATGGAAATGCCGCGCTACAATTAGCGACCTAGCATTGATGAATATACTCACCATGACGAGCGAGAAAAATACGAGGAGTCGTAGCATCGAGATCCGACATTTGATTGCAAATTGTGGAGGGAGGAAGCCTAGGGACTTGAACAATAGCGGGGGTTGCCAAGTGTTTGCACGTTGTCTAGGATTGACTTGGACGGGCATAGCACTGCCTGAAGCCGCGCTTCTAGGACTTATCGATAACACATTCTGGCTGCAAACATGGTTGTGCCAATAGCATTTGGCATGCTAGACAAACCCGTTGATATATCGGAAAAGGCCCTCATTGCGCATCGAGTTACTAGCTCATGCTATTATCGAGCCTAGTTTGTGGATGCGACTGGTTAAACGATGCCTGCTCATTTCGCCCACCTAGATGGAATACGTCTTATTGCTACGCCCACTTAGCATTAAAAAGTGAAGACGCTCACATTCCCAACACAAACTTATATAACCCAAGCAACATCTACTGATCGGTCTTTAGATTTCTCAAGCTCTGCCATAGCATCTCTAAGATCATTAGGACAGAACATGTTGCACAGTGCCATCATATCGTCACAGACACTAATCTCGTCAGCCCGTGGATCAAACTCAGAAAGATCAATTCTAAAACTTGCTCACACATGTGCTTGGCGCGAGCCGGGGATGGAAATCGCATTTCCAATATTGAAGGTTAGACTGTAGAGCAAATTGCGTGCATCCCAATCCCCAGCCGGCTCCGACGGTGGAATGATGGCTTTATAGTGACTGATATATTCTCCACTGCTCAGCTTGTGCCTTGGCGCCCTCCAGTTCCCAGTATCGTATTCGTTGTGGCCGTAGAACGAGCACATGTCGATCACGAACGCGTTCCCAGATTTGGCATTCATGGCCGTGTTGCCGTCCCAGCAATCCCCATGTATCAGCGAAGGCTTTAAGATGTGGCTGTTCTGCTGGAGAGGAAGAAGAAGGCGCGGAACAACTTTGTCGAGGATGAGTGTTCCTACGGCGTCGAATTCCGGCCATTTCAAGTATGAATAAGCTAGTGAAATAAAATGGCGCAAATGACGGTCAAAGACTGCGGCCCAAGAATCGTCCCACCACTCCACTTGCTGCACGATTCTGCCATGGCATGTTTGCACGTGGAAGCCAAACTTGCCGGTCGGCGATTTCGAGCGCTGGTGGAGGTCAGCGAGACCTCTAGCAAGCAGGGCCGGCGCTGCGGGCTGTCTGGGATGTTAGTTTGGGTTCGAAGTTGTAGATCATGGTTGGTCTCGCCTGCTGGTCCATGGCACGAAATTCTTCCAAAATGAAATAAGACTCGGATCTTCCATCTCCGTAATTCCCCCAGGCATATGGCTTGGGAGAAAAGTCTGGGGAGACATCGTGAATGGCCTTCAATGATTCATACTCGCCTTCGCACATCTTACGTGCTAGCTCTCCTTGCATGATGACCTTGATCGCGATTAAAATTGGATGGTATTAGCTGGGAGGTTAGTCGGAAGATACCTTTAGAAAGTAACATTCTGTAGATTTGTCCGGAAATTCGACTACGAGTTTGACGGTCTGGCTTAATCGTGACTGTCCATACGCGAAGGCATGGATGACTCTCGTTCCTCGGATGGGAAATGCTAGATTTCTGAGCTTCACATGTGCTTCATATTTTGATAGATTGCTACTGACAATCAATCACGCTTTTGTCGATGTTAAACAACCCAGTCTCTCTAGGGGTTACGATTGGGTCGAATTGTGGTTCCTCAGTACTGACAGGTCCCTTAATAGCCACTGTGCTCGAGGCAGTCTCGTCAGTCATGATCTCCTATTTTCTTGAATAGTATAATTTGCCCTAATAGAGAGCTATAGGGAATCAATCGGATATGCCTCCACAATGCTGCCCTGGGGAAAGAGATGTGCAGAGATCCAAGATGCAGACCGCTGACGGCCAAGGTTGCGAATGATTCGTCGGCATTCAGCGAACTGCAAACGCATCATAGATGACGGCTGCAATTGGACTCTACGATTTGCCTGTTCCACGCTCACCGGATTTACAAAGCGGCCAAGAGGGAGTCAGCCCAGCCTCTTCGCCTTAGTCGTACACAGCTCGACAACGCAAGCTTCGCCACATAATACCACCAGTACGCCTTCGCCCTAGCGACGAAATTTCCTCACCGGCCAATGCGGGCGTAGGGATATCCTGTTCAACATGGCGGATCCAGTATCGCTTGCTGCCAGTATTATCGCTCTCGCCACGGCTGCGGCACAGATAAGCAAAGCCGTCTCTCGCTTGCGAGCTTTCGGGGAGGTGCCCGCTCAAGTGTATGCCCTCAAAAATGAAGTGAGCGACCTCGAAGTCGTCTTGCGTCAAGTTGGATACGCTCTGGAGCAGAAGACATTAGCAGCTGAGGCTGAACAAGGGTCTCTAGAGCCGATACTAGCGCGAACCAAAGGCCATCTAACAACGCTTGCTCAAGCGCTCGAAAGATTCGCCGAGCAAGTCTCCGGCAACAAGAAATTCTTCAGTCGACCCGGGCTCCGTTGGAAAGGCAAGGAAATCTTTCAGCGTCATCAAGACAATCTTCGGGACGTGAAGTCGGCGTTGAATTTGATAGTAGGAGCATCGAACTCGTCAGTCCATCTTAGCTTTCGTTAAATTTCCGAAGCCTCACTCGATAAAGCATAAACTGACAGGGCATGGCAGACGTGACCTGCATCATATCAAACTCGAGCTTCGACAAGTTGCCGTTGTTACCTCTAGTCAAATGTACGCAAGCGGGCATACTTTCAATCAAGTTCTAGAGAGCCATCGTCTCGCGCTAACTAGTAGGATGGACGAGCAGTATCAAGGCTTGAACAATCGGCTTGACGTTTTGGGACAGATATTTCTCAATGAAAGACTACAAAATAGGAGCCAAAATGATGCGCCCCCGGCATATGCCGAACATACTGCCGATCAATTGGCTGCAGTTGAAACAGTTCGTGTGGTCATGTCCTCTCGCAACCCATGTCGGAACTGGTGTCCCTGTGCATGTCACGTGCGGCGAAAGTTGAACGTAACGGTGCCCGGAGTCATGGCGAACATTCTTGGGAAGATGTTTGTCGGATACGCTGGGTTACCAGTCCTCAATAAGCCATGCGACTTTCGAGGATGCAGAGATCGACAGGAACCCGATGCGATGATGGAATATTGGTTCCCTGGATGGTTTGTGGCCATGAATCTGAAAATGCATCTCAAGCTGCTTCCCATGTCAGGGCCACAGTTCCAGCTAGCAACGACAAGGAGAATCCCAGACTCTTCTCAGTCAATTACATTTGCAATGAAAGGCGATATCCAGGGCCTCCGGCATCTGTTCACTCAAGGCTTGGCGCATCCAAGGGATATCAGCGACTCCAGGGGCTACTCATTGCTCAGGGCAAGTCTTCCGTCAACTCTAGTTAATGCTTCACTAAACCTCTCCATAGTGGGCACTCTACGGCGGCATGCATCAATACGAAACCGTCAAATTTCTTATTAGTCAAGGCGCGCCTGTTGACGAAAAGTAAGCTCAGAACCCTAAGATTCTTGAACCTAAGTAACTCTATAGTTCTTACGAAAACGTCTGGGACTTTCTCTTCCGCGGTAAATGTAACGAGACAGAAGCGCGGGAACTACGCTGTATCACAGAGAGCGGGCATGGTGACTGGGTCGAGGACCAGAACTTTCCACTTGTCCATAGGATTGTTTTTGGTATATCCTCCAAGAGTTTAGCCACTGAGCTCGAGGAAAACCCGCATGCGGTGTACCTTCTGGATGGCCAGGGCCGAACTGCTCTTGATTGGGCGACGGCAAGAATCCAGCTAGAGGATATGGTACTTCTGATCCGCCAGGGTTCTGATCCGAATAACATGGATATCACTGGGAGAACACCCGTGTTACACGCAGTCGATGCCCACAACGTCGACGCGCTCCGCCTCATACTTGAAGCCGGTGGAAATCCG